TAACATACCTGCAAGAGAGGTTTATCCTGCATCCACATACAGTAAAATAATCCTTTCCATATTTTTAACAATTCTTCTTGACTGAAGCAACCTATAGCACAAAAGGAAATTATTATTTTAAAAAAGTAAATTGAAACTTGCCCTGCAACTGCTTAGGTGATGGAAAATACCCACATCAGCCAAGAATTATGTATAATTAAGTGCAATCATACAAATGTCCATCTGCCAAAAATCTGCCAACAATTAGCAGAGAACTATGTAGAACTGTGCAATCATACAAATATCCATTTGTCACATTAGCCGTTAAAATGTAGTAGGTATGTCACTTGTTATTCATATAAACATCATATTAATGCATCTTTTGCTCCAAACGCTTTGGAGATGGTCCTTCCCATATTTATCAATAACAAACACGTGTATTTTCGTCTTCACCGCTGGCCTGACACGAAGTTTTGTCCCACGTGCTTCTCCAACCTTACCCTCTAGACTCTGGGTCCTGAGCGTCATGTAGCCACGTAGCTTTTTCAGCGCCCGATCCCGAATCCGTTTCTCGTTCGAGGCCAACCTCTGAGCAAATTGGATCTCAGGAGGTAGCCCAGCAGAGACGACAGCAGCAGGAGCCATAATCCCCAACAACCACGTCCTTCTTCCCGAACAGGAGGCGCAGCTAGATCGGCCTGAAGCCAGACTCTCCCTGGCGCCCGTGAATGGCGTCACGGACAAAAATGTGTCGCACACATTTGAAGTAACATTAATAGTAGCCCAGCGGCTAGAAGATACGAGGAAAGGAGTCGTTAAAATAAGCCTTATGTAGGCTTATTAACTAGCAAATCAAGAGAAGAGAAGAAATGCACCGGAATCTGATTTGCAAAGGCAGTGTCGCTTTTAGGCGCTGGTAGAGATTCTTAAGCACGCAGGAATTTATACCTTGTAGTTTCGCGTCAATATTTACTTCTGTTAACAGGCTTCTGTTTGTATAACCAAGCTGATAATGTAGCTTTCAATGGAGATGGAAATTATGAAGTGCTCCAGTACTGTATTTATTTGAAATTGACCAGCATTTAACTTAAGTGTCTTTTGTCAGAAGATTAGGAAGAAATCTCCTGTATTACCTTATTGTCCCAAAGATTAGTCTTATATTTTGAAATTCAATTTTGGAGAAAAATATTTTCAGGTAAATAGTAGTAATACTTAAATTATGCAGTTATAACAGCAGGACTTTTGTAGAATAAAATAAATGAAACAATATATTACAATTAGATAAAAGGCAAAATAAGAAACCTCTAAACTAAAAAGTCCCTCATGTATTATAATAACCGCTATACTTTCAAAGTAGTATATAAAAATTATTGTAATGCAATTTCATATGGGCCCATGAAAAATGCTTTTTATAGTGATTTGATTAAATATTTCTCAATCTGCACAACACAACAAACTAATCATATGGATTGAGTTGGAATACCATATAAGATAAACATTTGAAATAGAGAATATAAATTTTATATATTGCCCAATCCAGAGCTTCAGTTTTTAAAGAATATTAAATAGTTTCTTATGGTCTAAAATGTCAATTCTGAAAATTTACATCCCAGATGCCTAATGTCTTAACAAAATCTATCAGCTATCATTCTTTGAATCAGCTCTTTACAGAATGAAACCTGAAAAAACAGACAATATTTAGTTAATTAATTTTTATTGCTGCCCATTTCATGCGTGTGACTTGGTAGCTCACAACAATTAAAACAATAACAAAAATAATAGAAATGTATTAATTGTTTAAAGATTGAATCACAATGTTGCAAAAATTAAAGTTACATACCGTATTTTTTGGACTATAAGACGCACCAAGATTTTGAAGAGGTAAGCAAGAAAAAAAAGTTTTTGCCCTCCCCAGCCCACAGGAGCACTCAACAGGCCTCCCAAAGCCTCTGCGCGCCCTGTTTATGTGAAAAACGGGCCTGTTTTTGCACAAAACGGGACGTGCGGGGTGGGGCTTCGGGAGGCCAAAAATGGCTGTATTTGGTATATAAAATGCACCAACATTTCCACCCTCTTTTAGGGGGAGAAAATGTGTGTCTTATACTCTGAAAAGTATGGTAATTGGTAATAGTGTGAGATCCAGCTATATTTCCCTAAACGAACCATCAGAATTTAGATGGATTTTTTGAGATTTGCCCAGCTGCTTATAGGATTTTATTTTTGTTTTTTAATTTTTTTCCTTTAGGGTTTTTTTTTTCTTCTCTCGTAATTCAATATATGTTTTTTTTATTTTTTTTCCTTCCCCATTTTTTGTATAATGAGTCATAGTAATATAGTGTTAGGCCCAAGCAATACGTCAACACATGAAGAATTCAAGTTGACAACTTTATTGCAATTCTATCTTATCGTATTGGAATCTCCCCAAATTGTTTGCCTTCCTTTGGGGAGAGACAGATAAGATTCCATAGAGCCATTTCTCCCAGTTATCTTCCCAACTCATGGGTAATAGAAGAAATGTAGAGATAAAAGGGGGAAGCAGGTCTTTTTATCCCAGCACAGAAAACATATACTTACTCCTAGTTGGAACTAGGTGGAAACAGTTCTTCAGCCCATGAAAATACCACGGCAGCATTACTGCAGAATTGCTGGATACAAAATTCCTCCCTCTCTTCCAATCTGAGATACGGCATCATCAAAGCTGTATGCATGAGGATGATGCCTAAACAGTACAGAACTGCACAATACAAAAACCTCCCCGTCTCTTCAACACGTAGGTTCTCATGCTGGATTCCGGCTGAACCTTTTTTCCTGCCATTTTCACCTCTGTATTCTTTTCCCCTGCTTTGGTTGCTATGGATGGCAGAAGAACCAAAGGGAAAAGAAGTAAGCAGAGAGAAGTTGTGACAAATGTCTTCCTTGGTAACCATTCACCAATCCCACACATAAGATCAGAAAACTAGCAGCTCCAGATACATGAGACTTCTGCCAGTAACTGGCCTCAGAGAAAACATTCTTTACTCCATTTCCCTGAATTTCAATGCACAGAGTTTCTATTGCCAAAGCAGAATGGGGTCCAAGTACTTGTGAAGAGTGAGGAAGACAACCTTGACTGAAATAAGTCAGATCTGTTATTGAAGCAGAAATCATGACTTAAGGTCAAAACAAGATCAAATTATACACAATTGACTTAGGCAGACACCTAATTCTCATGTATAAGGAGGGATATGTAAGGCAAAATGATTTGAAAAATTGCTGTCAGCCACACTATGTAGAGTGTGGCTGACAGCAAATCAAGAAATAAAGTAAAGTGACTTCTAATATTGGCAATAGTACTATGGTAGAGTTTTGCTTTTTGTTGTTTTGGCTCAAAGTGAGGCTGGAATCCTAGCTTCTACAGCCACTTTATTTATTTTAAAGGAAATATCAACCTATTGACCTATGCTTGCTTGTATAATAGTAAAAATATTGTTGGAAGAAATATCCTCTGGGTTCAGCTCTGGAAACATGGAGACTACTTGGAAAGATGGTTTAATGGTGGACAGGATCACATGGCTTGAGTTCCTGAACAGAAGAGGGCAGATACAGCGAGTCTCCGGGTTTTATGCTCTCTCTGGCTTTGAATTTCCTGGGGCCCAGAAAGAGTATCCTGATTGGTTGTCAGACTTCCAGGGGGTGGGGGTCTTAGCTAGCCCTGCTGGCTGATATAATCTTCCTAGGTGCCATGTGGTGAGTTTTTGTTCTAGATGGGTCCCATTGTCTTGCAGATGAGGTCCATTGACAAAGATTGAGTTTCTGCCTCTGGTCCATTAACAAAAGGGTGGGGGCAGGAAGGTGGGAGCTGCTTTGTCTTTAAAACATGCTTCTCCATTTCTCATCCAGGGAAACATAATATTCTGCCTTTTTAATATTTCCCAAAATATTTCATTCTTCTAGGAAAGGGGTGGGTGCTAACTTCTTACAATATGACAGTTCTCCACACCTTGACGTCTTTTTTCTCATACACATCCAAACTATTTATCAACACTGTATCTGGACTACGGAAATCTAGACAATCATTAGTTAACCATTAGCTAAGAAACAGAAAACAAGCAATTCTTTGTTCTTGTCTAGTGGTTAGTTGACAAATAATCCTTTGGCAAAAAAACTGGACAGAGCAGTTGATTTATACAAGCGCTATATTCTTTTTTGTGTGACAGGTGGCAACTTTTCCTGCAATTTATGTTGGATGAGATGGGAATTTCAACCAGGAAAACTGCCAAATATTTTACAGTGCCACACATACAGCTGGGCAGAATAGCGGCACAACTGAATTCCAGGCATATTGTGGGGATGCTATGATTGTGGTTAATATGATCCCCTCATCAAGGTGATTATTTTATGCTGTTTTGTGCAAACTCAGTCTGTAACGCTAAGATATAACATTGCAGAACAGTGATGAAAGCCAGTTGGTTAACTTTGGGTCAGTCATTCTCTCTCAGCCCACCACACCTCACAGGGTTGTTGTGGGAAAGTAGGAAAAGGAAGATGTGTTAGATATTTTCGCCACCTTGAGTTATTTGTAAAATTCATAAAAGCAAGACACTAAACAAAGTTCTTTTTTGGTAGAGGATTACTATGTTGCCTTCAAAGTAAGCATTACTCTTTAGCTTCATTTGTGTGTGTGTGTTTGTGTGGATTAACCGTAAATTAAATATGCCCAATTAGAAAGGTCTATATTATCTTAAAGGATGGTGGTTTCAACAAACAAAAATCTTGTTATACATTGAGTATAATACGTTCTCATAGGGTTACACCGAGATATCACCTCTCCAAAATTAGGAGATCCCGGCCGAATCAAACAGGGAGACAACGAGCAAAGATTTATTTATCGGGTTACCAATTCGAACTTCCAACGCAAGAGACTGGCTTTTTAACCACCAAGATAACAATATAGAGCGGCAAAAAAGTCCTGGCGACTTTCGAGAGTTGTCCCGCCACAAGATGACTGTCACGTGGTGTGCAGCGAGTCTGAAAGAGGGGGGGCGTTCTTTCTTGATCGTGTGTTGAGATGAAGCGCGGGAGCTTAGCCAGCCCGTCCTGTTCAGGAGGCGGACAGCAGGTAGCGTAAGGTGCTGGCTTTACTCCCCCGCGAGATTCTCGATCCTACGCTCGAAATTAGCTTTTTCCCCCTCAGTTAGGGGAAGACGGCAGGGGACAAGCGATGTTTCGTAATGTCCCCCCCTCCACCCCCGCCCCATCAGCCACAATTTGGTGGTGATAAAAATTGGCTCCTCGCCTCCAGAAACCGACTGTGAGGCGGTTTTTTCCCCTTTTCAATTTCAATGCATCCAGAGGCGGCATCCTACAGGAATATGGATATAGGGTGGCTGAATTTTCACTACGCTCAAGGGTGGTTATTGACAGCACCGTGCGTTCTGCGAATTTAGTGAGCCGATGGTAATCGTTGATTCCTGAGGTGCTTAAGGATTTTGTATTAAGTGATGTGTATTTTAAGGATATGGTCTTAAGCATGTTTGCTTAGAAATAAATTTTAAAAAGGAGCAAATAAAAATACCTAGTCTGGTATGTAAAATAACTTATTGCAGCATTTTAATACTAATAATAGACAGTAGTTTTCTGAAATATAACTAATGAACCAGATACATTCTTGTATATCTCAATTGTTTCACAATTTTCTACATTCCTCACATGGAAGATGAGCACTTAATGTGATTCTCAATCTTCTTGAAGTAGAAGGGGGAACAAGTTGCCTTGTATGAAAAATTAACTGCTTTTTCAGCATTGTATGCGGTATATGTTAATTTCTTATAAGATGAATGCTTTTTCCCAGCTAAAATAAACTCGTAGTGTAATTTCTCAATGTTCTTTTTCACTCACCTTCTATCTGTTCTTTTATAAACCACAATTTAATACTTCTGAAATATTTAAATCCAAACAATATATAAAAACTATGGTTTAATATGGTCCAAAATGTTAAAATAAAAAAGAGACCGTTTTTTTGTTAAAGACATTTGTTGAATAGCAGGGAGAAAAAAGGAGGAAATTGTTTTGTTCTGTTGCAGAAAACTGAGGTAGAAGTTGAATTTGTTAAGGTCAAAAAGAGAGCTTTGGAGAGATTGACAACTGAAGTAATGCAGTTGCATGACATTCTACCCAAGATATTGAATAGTGATATCTTAGAAAGCTTCCAGAAACTGGATGCCCTTGAAACAAGTAAGTTCTCTTATATTAACCACAATTAATTCATAGAATAGTATTGAAAATTCTGTGAAAACAAGATAATTGTTAATATTGTTTGGTTGTATCCTGCTTTCTGTTTTTTTAATATTCTGTATGCAAGACAGGAATATAGTAAAAATATTTAAATATAATACAAAAATTTGTAACTTACAAAAGGCCCTACTTTTTTTGTTCAAAAGAAATTAAGTTGCAAGAGTGAAGAATGTTAAGTAATATGAAATATTGGAATTACATTTTCCTTGCCTAATAATCTCCTACTTCATATCGAGTTGAAAAATGGACAAATTTGACACTTCCGGTTTCTCTGCCTTCGGCGACGGCGGTGCCTTTCGGAGCTCCGCCAGCCCCGTCGCCCGTAGAGCCGCTTCGTTACTTAGAAGCGGCTTGAAAGCTTCAAAATCCTGAGGATTGAAGAAGTAGAGATCGCAGGGCACAGGTTGAGCCCCCGTTGTCCCCCAGGGAATCGTTTCTGGGGAGAGAACGGGTGTGGCTCCCTTCCACCCTGCGGAAACTCCGGGCGACGTGGGACGATTTTGCCTTCGCAAAACAAGCCGGCCGCAGGAAACGTAATTTGAAAAGAATCAGCTTTAACAAACAGCGAACCTATCTGAACCCTGAAACTTGGAAACGCAAGTATCAGCGCTTTGTTGACTTTTCAAACCGAGACAAATTTGAGTGAGTGAAAGTGCTTTGAAAAAAAACATGGCGCTTAGCCTTAAAGTTAACGAGCCAATGAATGTGGATTGGTGAAGTTATTTTGTGTTACAAGTTTCCAAGTTGTTGCAAAGTTACCTTGTTTGCTATAAGAGAAGAGAAGCAAGTGGAAAATTTCTCCCTTTTTAATACTGGACTTTGTTTTACTTTAGCTTTTAACTGATTAAATCTGGGGGACTTTTTTAGAAGTCTTTGTGCAGGAGGGAAAGGAAAAGGAACTTCCCCTTTTAGAAAATCCAGACTACGTGGCAAGATGGCTTCAAAGAAGCAGGAAGGGAAGGCAGCAGGGGGGGATCCCCCACACATAAACAAGAAACGCAGCCTCCCTCTGCACAGCAGTTACAGACCCAGAAAAAAGAATTTGATGTGGGAGATTTAAAACAATTTATTTCTAAAACTCTGGATGATAAATTTTTTAAAATGTCAACAGGAGATAGATGATAAACTTCAAAAATCACATCAGGAATTTATGCAGGAAATTAATGAAGTTAAAGATATGGTGAAACAGAATCAAAATAAGGTGACCAAAAAAATTTCAGAAGTGGTGTCTGGCCTGGCAGAATTTATTGGGAAAGTTGATTTTAAAGTTGAAGAATTTAAATCAGAAGTTAATGTCAAGATGAAAGACAATGATTATAAAATTGATGAAGTTGACAATAAAATGCAGAGAATTGAAGATGAGATTGTTATGATACAATTCCGGGCGATGGAATTCGCCATACGGCTTCGGGGAATTCGAGAGGGGGAGAGACAGGATTTGAGACAAGTTTGTTCTGAAGCCTTGGCCAAGATTTTACAAGTTAATCCTGATGTGGTATTTCACAAAATAGATAAAAGCTATAGAGTGAACTCTTGGGTGGCCAGACAAAGACAACTGCCTAGAGATGTGGTCATATATTTTACAGATAGAGGAATTAGAAATGATATCCTGCAAAAATCTTTTCATACTTCTGTACAAGTGGGGGGTTCACGACTTGAAATCTTTAAAGAACTACCTCCTAAAATGTTGAAAGCCAGAAAAGAATTTGGTTTTCTTGTTAAGGAATTGAGAAATTTACAGATACCCTTCCGGTGGGACGCTCCTGCTGGGATAATTTTTAGATATAAGGGAGAAGGATATCGGTTGAATACCGTGGAGAAGGCACAACACTTTTACACTACTATTCTTAAGGAAAGAACACCATCTCCACGTACATCCACAGTTTTGGAGATTAAAGAGAGTGAAGAGAGGCAATTGCAAGAACAGTCTAAGCAGGAATTAGAAGTAGTGCAAGGTGCAGAAGGAGGTTTTCTGAGTGAGCCCTTGTTTGATTCTTCTCCAATTTTGGATTTGATTCAGTTGACTGAAGTTAAAGATCAACGTATAACTAGAGCTCAATCTAAACTACTTAAACAAAAGCAACAACAACAACAGGAAAGACAAGACAAGAAGGCAGTTAAGAGTACTGTACAAGAGAGTGGAGCGATGGGAGGAGCGAGATCGAAGCTTTCGGATGATCTTCAAGCATTTTGCTCTGTGCTCCAGAAAGAGGCTGATGACCTTTAAGTGTTTATCTTGGAACGTCAATGGGTTGAACTCAGCACAGAAAAGGAAGAAACTATTTACATATTTGAAACAATTTAATAATGATATAATATGTTTACAAGAAACGCATATTACAACTCAAGATCAAAAATATTTGATAAACTCAAAACTAGGAACACATTTTATATCTTCAACTTCGCAGAAAAAGAATGGTGTGGTTATTTATGTAAATAAAAAGTTAACAGCTAAAGTTATAGAAGCAGATCAAGATGGTAGGTTTGTAGCAATTGAATTGTTTACAGCAAATGGCCAAATTCTTTTGATTGGAATTTATGCTCCCAATCAACAACAGCACTATTTTTATAAGATGTTACATACTAAAATATTGCAATGGGACTATAGATCTATTTTAATTATGGGAGACTGGAACGGAGTAATTGATTCTAAACTAGATAAAAAGAGTTTGGCAAAGTTTAGAATTAGACTACCACAGACTTTTTTTGATATGAAAGAAGATATGGAATTAAAAGATGTTTGGAGAATACATAACCCAAAAGAATTGGATTACACTTTCTTTTCTGATAGACATAGATCCTTTTCTAGGATTGATTTTATCCTGTTGTCAAATGATCTACTTGTTAAGACAAAAAGAACAAAGATTTTTCCAAGAACTTTGACTGACCATAGCCCTGTATGGATAGAAATTGAGATGGATAAGGTTGAGAGACGTTCTTGGAGATTAAATGAGAACTTGTTTAGATATGAAAAAAATACAATAGAACTTAAAAAGCATTTGAAAGAATTTTTTGAAACAAATTTGAATAAAGGTACCCCAATTGAAATTGTTTGGGACGCAAGTAAAGCTTATATGAGAGGGGTACTTATCTACATGAACTCTAAACATAGACTGCTCCGACAAAAGAAAAGATCTGAATTGGAAACGGAAATAAAGAATAAAGAACAGTTACTTATTAAAAACCCAACAGATGAAAGAATACGAAGTGCTATAAAACTTTTGAAAGACCAATTTCAAATGCTTATGGCGGAACAAGTTGCAACAAATTTACAATATGCGAAGCATAATACATTTTGCAACGCTAACAAACCGGGCAGATGGTTAGCTTACACATTGAGGAAAAAACAAAGTATACGGACTATTGATAGTATTGATATTGGAGGGAAAGAAATTTTTCAACAAAAATTAATTAAAGAAGCTTTTGTGGACTATTATACCAAACTATATGCCAAAGAGGAGGTGCAGAATGGACTTATAGAAAAATATTTAAATGATAAGAGAGTTACAAAAATTACTGATCAACAAAAGGAAAGAATGAATCATCCTATAACAGAGGAGGAGATAATAGCAGCAATTAAACAGTTAAAAACAGCCAAAGCTCCTGGCACGGATGGTTTGACCGCAGTGTATTACAAAACTTTATAAGCTGAAATGGTGGGACAACTTAGAGATTTATTTTGCAATATTCAACAAGGGGGTAAAATACCCCCATCATGGACAACTGCTTATATATCTTTGATACCAAAAGAACAAGTTGGTCCTAAAAAACCAGAGAATTATAGACCAATATCTCTTTTGAATACAGACTATAAAATCTATGCGAAAGTATTAGCCAACAGGTTGATGCCAGTAATTCAAAAGGTGATTCATGAGGATCAAGCGGGATTTATTGAGGGCAGATATATGAAGGACAATGTAAGGCAAGTAATAGATTTATTGGAATATCTTGATAAGAATAAACAGATTCCTGCAGTGCTGGTTTTTTTGGATGCAGAGAAGGCCTTTGATAGAGTGGATTGGAATTTTCTACTAAAGACTTTAAAAAAGATGGACTTTGGGGACCAATTTATACAGGCGATTTCAGCAATTTATCAAGAGCAAAAGGCACAGATTATTATTAATGGAAGTCTGACGACACAGTTTAAAATTGAAAAAGGAACAAGACAGGGATGTCCGTTGTCCCCACTTTTATTTATTTTAACATTGGAAGTCTTGCTAAATACAATACGGGACTCTAAAATTTTGAAAGGCATAATGATAAGGCAAGAGGATTATAGAATAAAGGCATTTGCAGATGATCTGGTTGTTACCCTATCACAACCAATGGAATCAACAATCCTGATGAAGGACATTATACAAGATTATGGTAGAGTTTCAGGTTTTAGACTGAATTCAAAAAAGACTAAAATGATAGTTAAAAATATGACACAAGATCGCAAACATGAGCTTGAAAGGAGGGCAGGTTTTGAAATTGTACCTAAGGTAAAATATCTTGGAGTTCAGGTTGCAGAATCAAACATGAAATTGTTTCAAAATAATTATGAGGTGTTGTGGCGAGAGGTTCAGAAAGACATGGAGACTTGGAAAAAGCTGCAACTGTCTTTACTTGGAAGAATAGCAGCAGTTAAGATGAACATTTTGCCAAGATTTCTGTTTTTGTTTCAAATGATTCCGGTGCTTAAAAGTGATAAACAATTGAAAGTTTGGCAGTCTGGTGTGAATAAGTTTGTCTGGAACGAGAAGAAGCCGAGAGTGAAATTGAAAATTATGCAAGATGTTCCAGAAAGAGGAGGCCTTAAACTCCCAAACCTACAGTTATATTATGATGCAGCAGCTTTAACTTTAACAAGTGATTGGTTTGGAAGTAAAAAGACTGGAATATTGAATGCAGAAAGTTTTGATCTTGAATTTGGATGGCATGCTTATTTATTTTATGACGACAAAGTAGATAAAGTATTTAAAAGTCATATACTTAGAGACTCTTTGATGAGAGTCTGGAAGAAGCACCGACTCAAATGGGATTATAAAATACCGCTATGGCTGGATCTTGGTCATACTTTGTGGAATACAAATATAATGTCACTCGGGGGGGTTTTATATAAAGAGGTTCTTTTCACAGATGCGGGCAGATGGCAGCTGAAGACATTACAGACACTGTTGGATGAAGGGTTTAACTTGACTTGGTTACAATATAATCAATTACAACTGAGATGGAAAGAGGACCAAAAAACTGGTATTATGTTGCATGAGGAAGAATTGGTTAGACATATAAGAGAGAAAGGTCCAATGCATATTAAAAGGCTTTATAATGTTTTGTTAGAAAGAGATTCAGAAACGGAATTAGTTAAAGATTGTATGATTAAGTGGGCACAGAATTTTGAAGAACCAGTGATGCTGGAAACTTGGGAAAAAATTTGGGTTCAGAATGTTAAATTTACACAGTCGCAAAACCTGAGAGAAAATTTTTATAAAATGTTTTATAGATGGCATTTAGATCCTAAAAAGTTGTCATGTATGTACCCTAATGTTCAGCCAAAATGTTGGAGATGTGAATGTTTAGATGCTACGTATTATCATGTTTGGTGGACCTGCAGGAAAGTTAAGGCTTTTTGGATAAAAATTTGGTGGGTCATGCAGAATGTTTTGAAGAAAAAAATTCAATTTTCTCCACAGTTGTTTTTATTGGGTATAGTTAAGGGTTTTACACGGGGTGAAATAAAACTGATATTGTATATGATAACAGCAGCAAGATTGTTGATAGGTAAATATTGGAAGAATGAAGCTTTGCCCACTATCGAAGAATGGACTTTGAAGATGGCTAGTTTTGCAGAGATGGCGAAGATTTCAGCATATTTAAAAGACTGTCCACAAGAGACTTATGAATGGGAATGGAAAAGGTGGATAGAATATGTTCAGAACAAATACCAAACTAGAAAGTATCAAATAGCTTTTATTTGAAAATAATGTATTAGAAATATTTTAATGTAAAGAGACAAAGAGGAAAAATTATACAGGGGGAGGGATGGGTTCAAGCTTATATATCAGTGTTATTAGTTATGAGTACATAATAGGGAAGTCTGGGGGGGGGAGGGTTAGGGAGGGTTAGGGAGGATGGGAAGTTTGGGGAGGGAGGTGGGGGGTGAAAAAAGGGGTGAAAATGTAATTGTAAAACTTTTGCAATAAAAAAAAAAAAAAGAAAAATGGACAAATTTGGAATGGAAAAAAGGCTGATACGAAGAGTATTAAACCATTCCTCCTCCTGCTTTTTTCCCTACCATATGATCTTTTTATGACAGAAACTAAAATTTTAACTTTACAACTTGTACTGCATTATGCTTTCCACTGGGAATTTGTGGAAGCAATACATGATACATAGCGATAAGCAGTTAAATTAAAGAGGAACTGTACAATTGCTTTTCCTTCCTTACACTTGATTATAACTGGTCTAGTTACTTCAGGCTCAGTACTATTGTTTTTCATATTCTTGCGATTTCTGAGCGAAAGAGAGGAGACATAATTGCTTGCTGCCTAACTGAGCTAAATATAATAGCAATAGCAATTGCACTAAGACTTATATATCACTTCATAGTGCTTTACAGCATTCTCTAAGAGGTATATATTTATATTTATCAACCTCAGAAGGAAGGAAGGCTGAGTAAACCTTGAGCCGTTCCTGGCAGTGGGCAGAATCAGCCTGCAATACTGCATTCTAACCACAGTGCCACCACGCCTCTGCATCCATGATGTTATGGATTCAGACTGATAACGGTCTAGAACAGGGGTGTCAAACTCAAGGCCTGGGGGCCAAATCCAGCCCACAGGGTGCTTAGAGCTGGCCCACTCGGCCGCCCTGAAAACAGCAAAGGACCAATCCGGGGTGCCTCTGCCAGCAAAAACGGAATTCCGTTTTCACTTGTGGAGGGTTGTAGGAGGACATCCTGACCAAAAATGGGTCAGGACAAAACAAAATGAGAAATGTTTCTCCTTTTGCATTTGAGCATGCAAGAAGGGACAGGAAGAGAAAGAAAGAGGAAAGACAAAGAAAAAGAAGAAAAGATGGGAAAAGAGCAAGGAAGAAAAAATAAGGAAATGTGAAGAAAGAAGAAAGAAAGAAGAGGGAAGGAAAAAGAAAAGGAAGGAAGGAAGGAGATTATAATGAGAGGGAGGGAGGGTCTGAGGGAAGTCCTGCCTTAGCACTTAGCCACCACAGGTGCTCCCAACACGAGTGATGTTGAGGTGGCCACGCCCACCCCGGTCACACACCCCCCGGCCCCCCAAGGTTAAACACAACCCTGATGAGGCCCTCAATGAAATCAAGTTTGACACCCCTGGTTTAGAACATGAGCTGGTCTATAATTATCCTGTTCTCGCAGGACTTGTCAACATTATTTTTTTAAAAAAACTTTTTCTTTTCTTCCTCTTCCAATCACTCATCCAAGTGATTTGAAGATAATGAAATGTTGAAAGCTACAGAATCAGTGGTCTAGCTTCTATTTGTTTACCAAATGTATATACTTACAGAGTCCTGCTAAGGCATACTGAATAGATGACCTTATAGTCACTATTTGAAAATCTTTAAGAATGATCCATTAGTTTATCAGGTAGCCTGTTTCTCAGTCAAACAGCTTATACAAATTGAGTTCTTAATAAAGTTTAAGAAAAAGGTCTGTTTTTATAAGTTGACACCTATTAGTTTAAGTAGTACACACAAGAAAATAAAACTGCTTTGTCCTATATATGACTAGTCTTCAAATATTTGAAGATGTCTAACATATTATCTGATAGTTGCAGTTTAAGTGGTAGTATTTGAATGACTTGATTTGTTTTGCAATGTTTTGCTTGTGGTCCTCCATTTTTAGTTGTAGAAAAGAAAGGTAATGAACTGGAACAATTGAGAATGGATTGTGAACACTATAAAGCTCGCTTGGAAGCAGCCCAGGCAGACTGTGTGAGAGAAAGAAAGGTAAAGGAGGATTTCTATTCATTATCAAGTTTATATATTTAAAAAACTCTGTTAAATTTGCTGGGACTTATTAGAAATCATTATTATTTATTAAAATTACATCTTAGCTCTCCTACTGAAGCTTAATGTGCTTTTCCTTTTATCCGTAAAGGAAAAGGTTTGTGGTCTTGAGAATGACTGGCCCAAACCCAGCCAGTGAATTTTCATGGCTGATGATGGACTAGATCATAGATCTGCTTTGTCATAGACAATTGCTATACGCTGGATATTGGCAAATAAGGTTAAAAATTCAGTCTTAACTAGACTTTTACTTTGCAATTCTGTATTTGTTTTCCTGAGAATACTACCTTTTAGAAATCAGTGGAATATATATACCTTAATATACACAAACAGGCTAAAGTTATGTGAGACAATATGTGCTAATATTTTATTCCTAGGATTGCTTTTTTAATAAGGTGAAACATGCTTATTGTTGTAAGATTATCATGACAACCAAATAATCAAAGAATTTTTGTATGAGAGGACAAAAGTAACTGTACTAAATAAGTTCTCGAACTTGATATTTTTTCTAGCATGATTGTTCTATTCTCTCATAGAGAGTTTGTAGAATTAAGATGCAAATCCTATGTATATGTATATCTAGATAAGTCCAGCTGGACTCAAAGAGATGACATCTTCAGAATTTCACTGTTATGTTATTTCCACTTTCCACAAGATATTGCTGGCTATAGTTAAACAGTTTTCACCAATCTAATGTCTTTGCACATGTTGGTATACAACTTTCCTTATTTCCAGGTTGCATGGCCAATAAGAAAACTGTTTAAAATATCAGATGTTGTCAGATGTTCTTGCATACTTACCCTTTGCATGCGAATCAAATAGAAAGTTTTAAACAATTATTTAATGAATCAGCCAAAAATTCGTTGTGATATCAGATACAAGACTACCCATTTCTCTAGGAAGGTGTACACTGATGAGCAGAAAACATTTCTTTGGTTTAAGTCATTTATAGAAGACTGCATAAACTTGTTAACTTTTTCTGTTAACTCTTTGAAGTAGTGATGTATAAAACTGGAAAGAATTGCTGATGAACATATTGAAGTCTTCTCCATAAGTTAAGCAACATCAGACACAGTATAGGTATATACATTTGAAGTAATCACAAACAATATAATGCATTTCAGGTTTACATTGCCTTTCTTTAAAGATCATAAAAGATCAGAATTATAAGTCTTATTTTAGTCTATTGTCTTTGTTTTATTATTTTGTAACAAAACAAAATGTTGGGCAACACAAAAAAGTAGAAAAGAGCATTTAGTTCCTTCACCCATACCCCCTTTTTAGTTGAGAAAATTATATTTTCTGTTTTACATATAATACAATAAACTTGGTTACTATGGTCAGGTCTAACCTGCTTCTTATACTCTCTTTTTAACATCAAATATGAAGCATTTAAGTTTCTCAACGGCTATGCTTAAATAATTGTTATTTAAAATTTGCTAAGAGATTTTTTGCAATTTCTTGAGAAACATTAGAACTAACTGAATACTATAATTTGTACTACTGATCACCTCTTCATATTTTGATTATTTTCAGGAAAAATTAAATATTCGACAACAGCTGAACGATGCAAAGCATCAATTATTACAACAAGCTGAATATTGTACAGAAATGGGTGCTGCAGTATGCACATTACTATGGAGTGTTTCTAATAATGAAGAAGCAGTTAAAAATATTCTAGGAAGTGTAAGTTTAGCCACTTTGGGGATATTAAATCATTTAGTCACTTTTTGAAGATTATACCATTATCAGCCTTGTTAAAATCCTTTTTAAAAGAGCTTACTTTTTTTCTCAATCTAGTTGGAATTAACACACTACAGTCAAATGTGACATATTTGCTAAAGACTTTCTAGAGCCTACATTATGGTAAATTTGTTCCATTTGAGGTGAAATATTAGTCCAAACTAAGTCAACAAGATTGGTAGAATTTAAGCTGTCCCTTAATAATGTTAAAGTAAATGTAGAAATTTAGAAGACATCTTTAGGAATTAAATTTGTGTTTTTGTATATAAGTTATCCGTTGAATACTCAGATGCAAAAGAAATAAGCAGAAATTGGATATGTTGTTAAGCAGATACAGATGGAACCATATTAAATAATAAATAACTAACAATATTAATGTTAACTACTTCTAAATGGTATCTAGAAAAAGTCTGTCTTTACCATCTTCAGGAATGCTTCTTTGAATGGGGCATATTAGCTTCTAAGGGAAGGCTATTCCATAAGCTTAGTGCTATAACAAAAATCTGGCCTGAAACTGCCACTCTTTCATTTTCATAAAAAGAGAATGGAAAGAAACAATAAACTTCTAAGACACAGACACAATTCTGTTTGGAGAAGATGATCATGCAGGTAGCTGGTTCCCAAACTATATAAGGCTTTATAAGTAAAACAGAATTTTGAACTGCACCCAGAAAATCATGGACAACCAATGCAAGGCCTACAGCATAGGTGTAATGTATTCCCAGTAACATCTGGTTGGTAGACTATCATAATTTGTATCAATTGTAGTTTCTGAGTAGTTCTCAAAAAGAGCTCTATGTAGAGTTCATTATAGTCTAGACATTTGGTGAAGTTATGAGTTACTGTTGCAAGATCCTCTAATTTCTGTTGAGCAGATGTACCAAGACTGGATAAAGATCCTATCAGTGGTGGGGCGACTTTGGTCTTTACAGTCCCTATCCTGTAAATATAGGATATTTACAGGATAGGGATATTTACCTAAATATAGGATATTTACCAGGGTCTAAAGGAGACTTTAGACCCTGGTATTTCATCAGCTTCTTATACTCCTTCTTGATGTTGTTGCTGCTGCTTAGCAATGCTACATCTATCACCATTGCTGTTGTCTGATACTTGTCTGCTATCATACTGTTTGATTAATTTGCCTGTTTGTCTTGAGCTGTAAGTCCTACGGGATCTTAGCCCTATTATTCTCCACAACCTTCTGTGGAATCTCCCATCTGGACTTGGGAGGGTCTATCCCATACACCAAGCATATGTTCCTATACACCAGGGGTCAGCAACCTGTGGCTCTGGAGCCACATGTGGCTCTTTCACCCCTCTGCTGCAGCTCCCTTTCACTCAAAATATGCGTCACAACCACCAATGTGCGACACCCGCCGGCACGTGATTTATTTAGCTTTTCAATCCTCGGTAGGCCAACCATGGATAAATCCAAGAAAAGAAAAGTTTCAGAAGAAAACAGAACGTTTAATTCAACTACATATGCTAGTTTTGTGGCCGCTCAAGAAATAGTCAGGCACGGGAAGGGTTTTGTGGCTCCTGGTGTTTTCTTTTCTGTGGGAAACGGGTCCAAATGGCTCTTTGAGTGTTTAAGGCTGCAGACCCCCTGCTGTGCACAATGCCAGCTACTCGGTTGTGCCATTCAGTGTATCCTCCTGCTTGCATCTTATTCCCTGCCACTATGTATTGGACTATTTCTGAGGTCTGCACTTTGGGTCCTGTCTAGCGTGGTAGACCCTGTTTCTATGGATCTGGTGCTTAGGGCCTGTACTTGTGCAGCTGTGCTCAGGGCTTTGATAACTCTTCAGGACCTGTCTTATCCTTTATTGGTACTTGAATTTTGTCTTCTTTGTGTGGTCATTGTTCTCTCTCTCTCTCTCCTTCTCTCCTTGATTAGTTTCCATCATTTCTTGTCTTGCTTTCTGCTGCTTTGGGAAATAAGTTCACCCTCTCCTCTTTGTGGCAGCCTCTCAAATATTGGAATACTGCTATTGTGTCCCCGCAATTCTTTTCTCTAGACTACCCAAACCCAAATCCTGCAACCGTTCATCATATGTTTCAGTCTGAAAACCATTCTTCATATGTTTTAGTCTTCTCCAGATTTATTAAAATATAGCTGCTGTTATCCCTAACAAACATGGTGAATGGTTGTTTTAACATTGTTTTTAAATCTTGAGATTGGACTGTTTTAAAGACTAATAATTTATCATAATACAAAGTAATTTGTGCTGTAGTAACTTAGACTGCTTATTGCAAGATTTGTTTTGCTAGCAACAAACTGTTACTTCTTTAAAATTTCTTACCCATTACATAAGTGATCAAATCTCAAAATGTGTCAATGAAGCCATCTCTAGTGCACACCGAAGTTTGTGTTGAATATAAATTATTTATGATATATGAACTGAAGAATTATGTTGGTTATTAGCTTTAAAATATTTATAAACACCAATTTTTTAGTTATGGAAAAATTATTTATCCTACTAGATTTGCTATGTTATATAATTAAAAAAACCTTTGTCCTAGGGTAGGAAATACCTTATAAAATGGATAATATGTAACTATATGTTTCCTTTTACATTTCATTGTTTGAAATGCTAATTTTTATAAACTTGTTGGCTTATTAAATAGTTATTTTACCCTGTGAAATTTCAGGCTCAAGCTGTAAAGTTTTTTAATATTGCTGGACAAACAATGGAGAGTTTTGTCCGCTCTTTAAATGAAGATAGCAAACATCAGGATATGGATTCTGATGAAAGTCAGTTTGTGTTAGGTTTGGCTGGAATTGTTACAAGTAAGTAACTTCTAATACTTTATAGAGTAATAAGAAATCACTTAAGTTGACTTACAACTTCAAATTTGTTTTTCAATTTAGCTTATTTTAGTATAACCATGTTATTTATGAAAACTGATCATACCATATTAATGTCTTTCTCCTTGAGAATATATTTAGTACTAATGCATCTTTACCAGGGGTGAAATGCTACTGGTTCGGACCGATTCTCCCAAACTGGTAGTAAAAAATGCTACCGGTTTGGGCAAACAGGTATTTCCGACAATCAGCTGGGCGACGATCAGCTGTGATGCATGATTTATATTACCTAGAATCCTTGGATTTCCTGCTTTCTAGCTAATCTAAATCGCGTGGCACAACGGATTCACCCCCCTTGCTGTTCTACTTACCTTTGCAGACTCAGAAGGCTTCAAAATGTTCCTTTTTTAGCGCTGCGCAGATGCGCCTCAGGTGCGCCTGCGCGTGCAAAGCACACGCTTGGTAAGCAGACTCACAGAACCGGTAGCAGACTTCAGAGGATTTCACTGCTGATCTTTACTTACTTTGTCCAGAACCATATTTGGCAAATAAAATATTTCTTTTTTCCCCTCTGGTAGAAAAGCTATAAGAGCTATATCTGCCTCAGATTATGCTATGCTGTATCTTCAAAATTTCTGATATTCAGTCAAAGTTTTCTCTTTGAAATAAGGAAACATAACCTGTTCATAGTTTATAGTTTATATAAACATTTCTTTCAAATTTTATTTCAGTGATTAATGCAGTATAAATAATATGTCAAAGAAATAATGACAGAGGACATATCCCAAATGTTCTAGGCAGTTACATGTACTATTAGTGAAATCAAAATATTTTTCCTGTACACTTTTAGAATTCTCCCCAAAATTACATGTGCTTATTTCTAAAGCAGTGTTGTTTTTAAAACTTGTAGTGATACATAGGGAGACAAAGACCATTTTGTTTCTGTGTCCTAACCAGGATTTCTATCTAGAAAACAACAGAGAATTTAGCAGCTGCTTAGAACAGATCCAGTTAAGATTAATTCTTAACAAAGTGAGTCACATTGTTATATGTCAGGTGAAATTCTAGACCAACAACAGTAAAAACTGTAAAACTGTAAAAGAATTGTATAAATATTTAGAAATACGTTTTTAAAATATACATAGGTATATTTTAAAAACATATTTCTAAATATTTGTACAATTCGTACAAATTACTGTCCCATCTCAATAAAAAAACAAACTAAAATACTTCAGATGTTCTGTAGCAGAACTATTTATTAGCTACATATTATTTCTCATGATTTGCTAGTGACGTGTTTGCGAACTGGGATTCATATGCATATTACAATTACTCTGGATTATTAATTTTTGTAGATGTCTTGTCCCATTACCTGGAGACTGTTAGGGATGGAGGAATAGACTCAGGTTCAGCTCTAAGAAGACTAAATGGCTGTGAGTGCTTCATATGGCATGGCATAGGGCAGGGGTGTCAAACCTGATTTCATTGAGGGACAGATCAGCATTGTGATTGTCCTCTGGAGGCCTGGGGGAAGGACGGCGTGGCCGTGGTGGTTGCAGCCAACTGGGTGTACCTGGGACGTGGCCAGCTTGACATTGCTCGCATGGGGCGCGCCTGTGGGGGCTGGGCAGGGTTGAGGAGGGAATGGAATCCAGGGGTCTCTGGCGGGTGGGTGGGAGGCTCATCCCGTCGGATGAGGTGAGGTGAGGCAGGGGGTGGGGCAGCTGCAGCTGGAAACACACGGCCCCCACACGGTCACCACCCTTTGTGCGTGGGGGCCAATGGTTTCTGGCAGGCTGCGGCCCCTCAGCTGGTGCACTCTGCGGCTCCAGAGCCCGCTGCCACCACCAGGCTGACCGTCCAAGCAGCAGGCAGAGGTGGGGATAGGCACGTGCTGCAGATCGCTGGACACGTTACTCTATCCCACTGTCTGTTTTGTGGTTGGAGAGCAGGTTGCCGCTGGTCATCTCCTCGGCTGCCTCATGGGTCTTGCCCTTGGCATATGCATGGAGTGCATGGAGTGTGTTCCCCTTGCGTACCTGATGCACCTTGTGGACTACCGCCATCGCCACTCGGCAGAGCTCCCCAACCAGAAGGAGGTGAGGCAGCCAGCTAGAAAGGCCAAGTAGAAGTAGTAGAGCACGCCCAGGCCCAGCAGGCAAAAGATGGCCACCCCGAGCCGGGAAAGTTGGATTCTCATCAGTGCCATGGCCGCCCAGGCCCAGCAGAGATAGGGGTGCGATCCCAGCTGGGCTTGTGTGGCCATGGTGCCAATGGGGATCCTGCTTTCCCCACTTGCGATGGCCGCCTTTTGCCTACTGGGCCTGAGCGTGCTCTACCAGCTGGCATTCTAACTTGTCGCTTTGCGTCCTTCGTGCTGGTGGGCCTGGTGCTTTGAGCAGGAACAGCAACAGCCTAATAGACCAAGGTGCCGAGGTGTGTCAGGTGCGCAAGGGCTGATCTGCAGCCTAGTGACGGCCAGTCACCGGACTGCGGCCAGCCTTAGATCTGTGGTGCTACCTCGGCCCTGCTCCCTAGCCATGCGCTTAGGGGGCGAGCACACGAGGGCTGGCATCCTAGATGAAAGGGAAGCTCTCAGAATGCAGTTCCTAGGGATGCCAGGCCCCACTTGCTCGTTGCCTCCTGTGCGCACACCCAAGGGATGGGGCTGAGGCGGCGCCACAGATCTAAGGCTGGCTGCGGTACGGCCCAGATGGCTGCCACCAAATTGCAGATCAGTGCCTTGTTGGCTTGGACTGGGTGAGGCCTTGCAGGCTAGTAGTTCACTTTCTCGGGTGGCCCTGCAGGCCAGATCTTACCACCTTGCGGGCAGGATTTGGATTACGGGTCTTGAGTTTGACACCTTTTGCCTAGCTGTTTGAAGGACTTCCTGTCTCCCATAATGTCTGCCTATCTGCTTGTCCTGCATGCTTCGACATTGTCAGCATCTCATTGACTAAGCAGTGTCCTTCAATAGGACCCAGAAGCCAATTTTTTTTTGCCTTTGGAGCAGTTTCCCTCCATGGTGTGGATCTCTTGCCTACTGTCAAGCAATCTTTTGAAACCTTCCCTTCCTTCTCAGACAAAGAACATGATATAAATTTAACGAATAAAACCATAATTTGGATTAATTGTCTTTGAGTCCAACCTACCCAAGTGCACAAGGTGTTTGTGTGAAAAATTATAGGGGATGCAGCATTAAATGTCCACAGCATTAAACCACAAAGTTCCGCCTCTTTGGAATGTACAACATCTTTGGTGTTTCTTGACACATATAGAAAGAGGTGGAACTTGGGCTGTGATTTTATCAGTCTGATCCCTTTCCCTTCCATGTAGATATTAGTAAGAAAGTTGCTTTGTAGGTGAGAAGAGCAGCATATACATTTAATTAATTATTTAATAACTATCTACTGGAGGAAAGGTAGGATATAAATCTTCAGTAAATCTAAGTAATAATAATATAAATGAATGATTTGTGTGTGTGTGTTCAACAACTAATTAGCAGCCTTTTTGAAAGTTACTTTTTCAGTAGTGCTCTTAAATAAAAACACAATTTATTTAAAGTTTTTATGTTTTATTTTGTCTTTTCTTAGATGTTGCTGCTTTAGCAGTTGGTCGTGAATTCCTTGTTGGTTCAAATCAGGTACTGCTGGACACAATGATTCAGCTGCTGAAAGACATGAAGCCAGGATGTTGCACCAAACTGAAAGTGTATGATAATTGGTTATTTTTGAATTAAAGTGTTATTTTCAATATCTTATATTAATATTACATTAAATAACAATATTAATCTTATATTAAACAAATTTATCTTAATATGCCACTGCTAAAGTGTTCTGGAAGAACAGTTAAAAATGCATGCTGTAAATAGCAAATTCTCCAAAGAAAAGAAAGTACCAGTCAATCCAAAACCCTCAATCTAATCAACCCAATTAGGATAGCATTTTTTTTTTTATCAAGCTGAAATAAAAATGGAATAATACTAAACCTATCCACACATAAATTGGGACTTCTAAGTTGTTTCTTTTTGAAAAGACAACTCTGTGCAAACTTGTAAGCCATCTTCAAAACTCTAGGAAGTTCCAGAAATATTGTTCTTAGTGTAAAGATTATCAGATATAAGGGGTGGACTGATAAAGCAACAAGTTCCAGCTCATGAATACTGTTACTAACGCATATATTAACAAAAGGTTTCTACAATAAATTATTTGATATAACTTAGCCTGGAAAAAATTTCCTTAGTTTTTAATTACAAATAATTTATTTAATTTTCATTTGCTAGTTAACAAAATTACACTATGCAGATTTTAGTGTCTTATGTTATTCTAAAGGATGGACAGCAGAGGGTGTTATAGGCTTAATTCTAAATTAAGATTTTCAGAGATTGTGGATCATAGAACTATATTTTTGTGGCTAAGAGACTATATATAAAAAAGTGATACCTAATGAAAATGCTTAAGCAAGTATAAATATAACATTGTGATGTAAAAGTTGCTAGAGTAGTGATAATAGGACGAAGTTCTAAAGAATTAAGCATTTCCTAGGCTAATGTTCTAAATCAGGAGTGTCAAACTCAAGGTCTGCATGCTGGATCTGATGTGGTTGGATCCGGCCCATGGGGCTGTCCTGGTCTACCCAATGCAAAAAGGAAAGATCAGGCCAGCATGGCTTCGGTCCGGTCTACCCAATGCGAAGAGGAAAGATCAAGCCAGTGTAGCTTCGGCCTGGTCTACCCAGCGCGAAAAGGAAAGATCAAGCCAATGTATCTTCGGCCCAGTCTACCCAGTGTGAAGAGGAAACATGCCAGCAGTTTGGGGAGTGGTTTCAAGGTGGCCACGTCCACCTGGTTGCCCACCTGGCCCCCAGAGGTCAACCACAGTCCTGATGCGGCCCTCAATGAAATTGAGTTTGACACCCCTATTCTAAATAGTGAGCTTTGCTCTTTGTACAACTCTTTAACTTCCGTATTTTAACATTTCCTCATTGCTCAGCTTTATCAATTGCCTAAAAAAATAACAGCTGAAAAACACAAGCACAGACATGCTTTTCTATAACTCTTTTTAATCTGGTGTCCTGTGTCTGCTGATAAACAGATAGTAAAAATGTATTGCAAAGTGTTAATCCTTTCTGTTATATGAAATTCAGTATGATTTTTCTTTGTTTAATGATTTAGTAGAGCAGCTGTTCATATTTTCTCTGGGAAAGCAAGAAGATCTTTGAATTAGTATATGGCCTTCTCTGGAAGTTGATAAATAGAAACAAACTGGAACATTTTTCTTATTGTTCCCCTCATTTCTGTTCTTCATTGGAGAAAATATTTATTCTTTTCTATATTTTTCTCCAAGCTGTTTTAGAATGTGTTTTATCCTTTATGGCCATGGATAAGAGCTTATTTGACCTTACCCTGAAGAAAGAAGAAGGGCATATACCATCACATCTGAGCCTGCTATCTAGGCAAAATCTACCAGAAACATATATATGTTCAGATGCTGTTCTATCAAATACTGAAAGACTATCAAGAAGGGGAATGAGATGGCTGTCACATCAACATTTGAGGAGATTTTACTTGAAGTTCAACTTCCTAATTACACCAAGATTGCTCTCAGTTTAAAAGCTGAATTACAAATATGATTTAGTATTGAGGAGAGTATGAATGGTGAAACAAAGTAGCAGATACTGACAGGCAAAAAAAGCTTTATTGTCCCCAATGTTGCTATGTATGATCTTCAGCAGACAGACAGGCTTGGCTTCTCTTTTCAATAAGAACTCTAGCCCTGTGATAATTATTGTAGTTTTTTTCCCTAAGAAGTTTCTATAAATCAAGCTCTTAATTTTCTGCTTTATTATGATGATATATTGAAAAAATGGTTGCGGGTACAATGCAGTTGTAATTTCAGATGTGTTTCTTATTCAAAGTGGTCTAGCATTTTTACTCCCTCATAAAATTCTATAATCTACTTGATGGCTGACACTCATAGGGCAATACTTTTTCAATCTAGATATTTCCAATGGGTTAACTTACAGAATGTGTCCAAAATCCAGAATCCATGATTCCAATAGAATTGAAATTTGGCAAATTTTATAAAACATTTTGTGACATAATACAAAATGTCATTAAACATTTCCTGTGGTCCACTCTGGATATTTGATTGGATACAGTTCAACTGCATATTTTCAAGGCAGCTACATCTCTGAATATCTCCCTGAATTTTAAAGAAGTTTTCAAGCATATTAGAAGTTCTGCCTTTGTTGAAGGCATTGAGAAATCTGCTAAGGAAATATCTCTGAAGTAATGACCCAAGGACTCATCGGTTGTCTAGTTTGATCGAAATTCTTCTGAGTTCATTAAAAAAAAATTCTTAAAAAGATTGAAACGTAGGAGAAAATATAAAGCAAATTAAGACCCATAAGTGGTATATTATTAAGTAACAAGAAATTATTACAATCTTTATGTTGGCATTCAATCTATATTTTCCTAGGAAAAAATATTGCAATAGAAATAACTTTCAATTGATCAAATAGAAGTTTAAAGATATGTTTGAGGGTTAGCAAATCTGCAAGTTTGTGTAAGAATTCATTGTGAAATAGACTTCTGTTAGGCTTTTTGAAACTTGCTGAATTCAGAACAATATTTGCACACTGTATATTTTGAGAGTGCTGTGTAAACAGCAACAAGTAGTTTGACAAGAGTTATCAAATCAAATGCAAAAATAATGGCAGATTACTTCTTGTAATTTACGATAAATAAATAAAATAAATAAAAAACTTTACTCCCTGAAAAGTAAATAATAAAAGATGTAATGCACAGTCATATATTCTAGATCTGTTTGCTGCTAACAAACATTTTTTCATTGCATTTATGAAAAATCAAATGTGTTAACAAAACACACCCAGAAAAACACCAAACCCATAAATTTTCCAGTCTATGTGCAAAGTTCTATTATAATTGGAAGAATAGTCACCAAGATCTGGAGAAAGACTTTTTTGCAGTTGACTTTGCTGAGATAGGGAACTAGATGTCTCTGTGAACTTCCATTTTGCGGCCATCAAATTATAGACACCTATAGTTTCTTAAACCCACAGAGAAGCAAATTCAGATAAATCTTGCAGCTTCGAGTGGCATCTTTCTAACTTCATATCGGGGAATTCAGATGATAGGTAATTATGGTAAGAAAACAGCATATAAGGGAACTTTTTGCACAATGTTATTCCACAAGGTGACTTTATGAGCACTTCTATATGTAGAAATTACAGAGGCGTATTACTTGAGGATTCAAAATGAAATCTAGCCTGGAGGCATGGAGCAGAGCCTCCAGGCACTGTGGTGTTTGTTATAACCCATGAAGGAAGAAGAAACAAAACATTTAGAACCATTATTATCTCCTTTCTGTAGTGAGGAGAAGAAGGCATGAGAATTACAAAGCTCTCAAAAGAACCCATTCCTTTTCTTTCTTTTTTTTTACAAGTACCTGCAGTACCTCCAGGTTTAGATAATGTGCTCCACCTCTTTACTGTTGTTCTCTATTTTTATTCATAAACATACCATGCAGGTCATGATAAATCCTTCCATGGTCCCATAGCAGCAGTGCCCAGAGTGATTTGTCTGTTCTTCTATGAGTTTGCTGATTTACAAGCAGATTACTGCATTGTTGCATGGCATATACGGTAGTTACTTCAGATGAAGATATATTAACATTGATGCTCTACCATGTTAAACTGTCAAGTTAATATCTAAGCATAAAAACTATTGGATGTGATTGGTTGACAACAACACTTCTATCTATGACTTTGCCATATATGCCTTTTCTTTATTGAAAGGCAGTCAGTTATAGTTCCACTTAGGCACAAAGCCAGCTGGGTGACTGGGCTGAGCCTTGGGAAGAAGGCAGTAGCAAACCAATTCCCAAAAAACTTACCAAGAAAACTGCAGAAACTTGTCCTCCAGGCAAGAATGACTTGAAGGGGCACTCGCCCATTATTTTGTATCTTTAGCTGGTCTGGGTAGAGGAGTACTTACGGGAAAGAGGCAGACTTTTCAGATTCAGAGCTATTGGTTCTTCCAGTACCTATTCGGTCAGTACACTGCGCATTGAAGTAGTAGTCCTCTTAAACTACACAAGTATGAGATATGCTGCTTCTATGGCGAAGTAAAGGGAGGTGATATGGAAAGGATGTGGAATATGGGCAGTGAAATGTGATGGGATTTTACTTCAGAGATTGAATTATTACAATAATTAGAAGAAAAGAAGATAATTAACCAGATGTGTTGTAAGGAAATAAAGAGGTTTCAAATAATTCGGGTATTTCTGTAAGGAAGTCTTTTTTTAACTGTTTCTGATGTGAATCTGAATGTTTTGAATCTACTCCTTCATATAGGCATACTGATCTATAAGTTAGAGAGGTTAGACTGTCAATGTGTATCTGTTACTGCTGTTGTTTGTAAAGGCCCCTTTTTATTTTTTTATTTTTGGAGGGGTTTAAAAACCATTTCTCACTTTACAGGTTTGTAATGTTTATTCAGAGTAACTTCATACTCATTGAAGCACTCTTTCAAGATGAATAACTCCCTTGTGGTCATGTGATTGCACTTTGGGTGCTTAGCAACTGGTCCACATTTATAGCAGTTTGCAGCATCCTGTGATCACATGACCACAATTTACAACATTTTTTACTGGAAACTAATGTTTACTTCTGGATTCTGGCAAAAAACACCCATTGCAGACAATGGAACCATTTAGCAACTATGGCACTAACTTAATAATTGCCGCATTCGCTTTAAATCTGTGGCGTTCATGTAACAACCACTGCATAAAAGGTTGTAAAATCATGTTGGTCATGTGGGTATCTCAACTTATGATCCTCATGACATACCACGGAGATTCTGGGCTCCATTATAGTCATAGTCAAGGACTATTGTATTTGATCCTTCAAACTAATCTTAAGTAAAAAAAATCAAAGGACTGGAGCTTTCAAAATGAGCCATGTGATGACATGTTGTCTTATTTTTCTTTAAAATGTTGTCAGAAAAGCCTCTCCCATGTGAGTCTGCTCTTCTATAAAAGTTGAATCACGTGGAAGACTATGATGCATCTGTGTTATCTAGGATGAAAGGAGGTAGGAGTAAAACTGATTATTTCTTCTGATGAAAGAAGCTTCTTTGGAATACCATTCTGTTTCCTGCCTTTAAGGGGGAATAAGATTTTAGCTAGCTCCTGATCAAACAGGTACTAATACAAAGTACATTGTATTAGTAATGAACAATAGCTCTGTCTTTCATTCTTCCATAGATACACATTCCCCTGATGAAGTTATTCAGGTAAAGAGTCAGCTTGGACAGCAGTTCCATGAGAAGCAAGCTACTTAGGCATAAAAAAATTAATATTTTTTCTCCTCCCTCCCCTCTGGCTCCAGATATTTTGAGCAATAATACCTTCATTCCTGATTATGGTGGTTAGTATCAGCATTTTAAATGAGAGGAAAATTTATATTTCTCCCTATCTATGATCATAGTGTCTAACTCCAATGCAACAGTTAGATAGGAAAACAATTTCCATTTCATGAATATGGCTGTTACTCACCGCTTGTAGTATGACTGCTTGGTATCTGGTATCTTGGTATCTGGTATTTATTTCTTTTTAAATGGCATATATTCTTCTCACCATGGTATGTTTCTGCCATAAAATGTACAGTATTTGCTTGATAGCATTTCTTAGATTTCTTTTGATTAATTTTTGGGAGAATTGAGCATGAAGATGTCAGTGTCAGAAAACAATTCTGTGGTCCCTCTTTCAGTACCATTTGTTTCTGCTGAGATAGGAGAAATTAGAAATGAGTCTCTCAGTTCATCAGTTTCTAAATAGGTAATTGATAGCGCTATTTCAATATAAAGTATCCAGCAATAACAAGACAAATTACTTTCTTCCAAACTGAGAAAATTCTATAGTTATTTTAAAAGGTATCCTAAAAGGATCTGATAGTTAAAAAGTACTTCCCCTGCAGCAGTTGATTTATTTGTTAAGAAATTTTGCACACAACAAAGGTTTAAGTTGTACAAATACATCCAGTTTGTGGTGGTACAATTTTTATGAAACTCTTAGGGTTGCTGACAATAACAGACAAGATGCACTGTGACTTGTATTCTGGCCATGACATGTTTATCCTGTATTAACCTTACAAAACAGCTCTTTGAAAATATTTCTCCAGTTCTAATTTGATTTGTTATAGAGGAATTGACTTTTCAAGACCATCGTTTATTCTCAATTCTTGAGTGGAGTTTTAAGAAATCATCTGTTAATTATACTTAAAAATACTTACAGCTGATTGAAACAATAATTCAACTGGAAACTTTCTTTAAAAATACACATATATTTATATGGATGTCACTTTTTCTTTCTCATGATACTTTCTATAATATGATTCGTGTTGTACAGTCTAAAGATTAAGTTTTAGTTTTACTCATATGCAAATATAATTAGTTAAATTGGTTTTAAGCCCTTATACTTAATTTCATTTATCAGGATGCCCTGACATTTAAAACAAATCTAGCACATTTTTCTTTAAATGCAGTTTACTCAAGGATTTACTTGTATGTATGTGTATATATGCTACTACAGTATCTTGAAGATCATCAAATCAAAAGGTACAATATAAACTTTGCCCAAAAAATACATCTATGCATCTCAGTCACTTTTTAAACTTTTATTGCAGGCTGATGCTGATGTCCTTATATAATATTAGTATCAACATGAAAGGTGTGAAGTACATCAGTGAAAATGCAGGATTCTTCCCGTTAATCTGGTGGCTCCTGAATGGTAAGATTTTTATAAATACAATAAAAATAGTTTTTATTGTACAATATTTAATCTGCAATAAATAGAAGTTTAAAATGCTCAATAGCATTACTCTTTTAAAATTGCTCCTTTAGATTTATTCGAACAATATTTTATATACCTAAAATGTTGCCAAGAAATTGTGTATTTTAGGATCAGTGTAAAAGATAGGAGGTTTATATAAGGGGACAAGAAAGAGAAAGGCAACAGGATGAGCTCTCTGTATGAGGAAAAACATATCAGAGTTGTAATTAGCATGTGATACAGAGAACAACCAAGGTTTAAATTCTGATGTGTAATGATGAATGATGTTAATAATAATATAATGTATTAGTATTTTTATTATATTTATGGTTACTGCCCTTTCAAATATTCACAGATACATTATCTTGTAATCCTTGTAATAGGCTTTTATTTTTACTGAATAATTTTCAGTGTTGCCATTTTTAATATTGCACATGGAATGAATGAAGCTAAGAAAGCACATAGTTGCATCAGTGAGTTGAAGCAGAAGCAACATTGAAATTAGAGGGCTGATTTGCAACTGAATGTCTTTACTATTATGCTCATTGGCTCCCCAGTATGCATTATTTCTGATTTAAAATCACAATATTGTTCATGCTTATTTAGCTATGTGATTATTTTCATTGGAATATATTTTCAAATAAATGTACATAGGAATGGAGGTTGCAATCCTAAGCAGAAAAGATCACTGAACACAGTACTATATGATTTATTTTTAAATAAACATTCATAGGACTGCACTATATATATAATACTGCTGTAGAGCCCTGACATTGAAATTTTAGTTTGTTATTTGATTTCAATTGCTGCCCATCTCAACTAGTGACGACTTAGATACTTTCAATATTGGTTCATCTCTTTAGCTCCCTCTGCTTGTCAAAGAATAAATATTTTTCTTAAAAGACTTTTTTTAGATCAGCTGGTATCTCCTGGCCCTTAAAAATTGGAAAGATTTCAGCCTCCCAAAACAAACAATCCAGAATTGCAAATTGTAACTCCCAATGTCAAATACAAATCCATGAAAACGATAAAAATAAAATAAGAATTTTTTAAAATCCTTGTTTGTCCATCAAAATTAGAAAGGAAAAAGTACTCCACACTTCCTTATTTTAGTTCGCCTCCAGTAATCCTCCTCCTTGTTTAACAATAACAATGTCCCAGGGGTGAAATTCACTTACTTTCCCTACTGGTTCGCAAATGCGCGCATGCTGTTGTCTGCATATGCCCAAAGCCTTCTGCACATGCACAGAGGCTTAAAATTGTCGCAAAAAAGCGATGTCATGATGTCCGCGCAGGTGGGTGGAGCCTCCCGCAGCCTCCGCTACCAGAACAACCAGACAGAAGAACAGTTTTTTTCTGAACGCCATCACTCTGCTAAACAAATAATTCCCTCAACACTGTCAAACTAGCTACTAAGTCTGCACTACTATTAAATCTTCTCATCGTTCCCATCACCCATCTCCTTCCACTTATGACTGTATGACTGTAACTTTGTTGCTTGTATCCTTACAATTTATATTGATATTGTTTCCTGATTGCTTATTTGTACCCTATGACTATCATTAAGTGTAATACCTTATGATTCTTGATGAACATATCTTTTTTTTAATATACTGAGAGCATATGCACCAAGACAAATTCCTTGTGCGTCCAATCACACTTGGCCAATAAAAAATTCCATTCTATTCTATTCTATAAGTGCCATTTCAGAGAGTAGTTCATCTGGGAATATAGTGCCATGACACGTGATTACAATCTCATTTTGCCTATCAGTTGCACTTGTTAATATTTAAAAGCTAGTTACATCAAATTTTACTGGACATTTTATAATTCTGATAAATACCTTAAATATCTTATATAGGAAATTTTGAAGTAGGAGTATACTGTATAAACATTTTCTTTAAATTATTTAACATTAATTCAGAGTAGAATATGATACCTGCAAATGTGGTCCCAGAGTTGCAAATACTAGATATATAAAAAAAAATCCAGGATCTTTTTGTTTTGTTTTTTCCCCTTTTGTCTGATGTAGGGAGTCCTAACCAGCCTTTTTAAAATTGTCTCTCCATGCATCACAGAATAAGAGAAAAAGGAACCTAGACATGCTGATTGTCTTTACCCTTATTGTAATTGCATCTATTGGCACAATCAGAATTCCCAGTTGTCTGGAATAGTGTTCCAATTTAGGATTTTTACCAAACATATTGAGCCAGAGAGCATTTTAACATCGAGTTCAGGGTCAGTGAATATTAAAGGCAGCACTGCTATCTCTGTGCTTTGTGGATTTAATGTAAAGAAGATTGGTAAATAGGCAGCTGAAAAATTAGTTTTAGAAGGACTTCACTGGAATAATTTAGAACTTTACTTCTTTAAATTATAACAATGGTAATTATTTATTATTGCCATTTATTGTATTTATATGGTGACCATTCTTTAAAGCCACATAGCTATACTATTTTCTTTTTTTCTTCTAGATCCAGATCCAGAAGTATGTTTTCATGTATTACGACTTCTCCAGTCCATGATTATGGAGCCAGAGATATTAACTAAGTCAGCTCTCGAAATACGTGACTCCCTACCACTTCCACGAATCCTTTTGCTATCAAAGAGCTGTAATAAAGATCTACAAATTCTGGCCCAAGAACTGCTTGAGGACCTCAGAGTATTAGAAGGTGAAATGTAAGACTCTTTCTGAGGATATCATTAATTTTTTTCAAGCATACTTTTAAGTTATGTAATAATTTGTAAAATATTATACCTGCTTTCTAATACATTTAGTCATTGTAATTAAATAGTTTATATGCTTGGCATTCCTGCACAGGAATCCCAACCATAAATAGCACCTCAGAATTTATAGTCTTGTGATGTATCAAATCTCTTAGAAATACTGAGTTTAATATCTGCAATATTTGTAAGGAATGGGTAGACTTACTAATAACCTTCCCTTAATTAGAATCTTACCTGATAGCTAAGGGATATAGTTCAGAATTTATATTTTCCATATCATAACTTGTTAAGGTAAAATCAAGTACCTTTGGTCTATTTTATTCTTCATTCGACTTCCTCTTATTTTAGTAACAGTGAGAATAGTCTTTAAATTTTGAGTTTTAACATCAAAAATGACCTTAGCTTAAAAATCTAGTAAAGGATGCGAGACTTCTTTTTTTGTAAATATTTATATCAAAACTATGTAAGTTAAATTATCAACAGAATTGTCTGGGTGAAAGGTTGCTGGGCAGAAGGCTGTCTGTTCCACACACCCCCACCCTGGTTTCCTCACACTATATAAGCTTACTGCATTGGAAAGGGACAAAAGAACATTGCCATTAGAAAAGCCTCCTCCTTTCCTGGTACTCTCCTAGGATTTTTAGAAAGATTAGCTATGGAGTAGCATAAGTTGTAAAGCTTTTTTCCATTGCTGGCTGTAGACTTTCATTTCATTCTGTACCTTCCAAAGTTGAACTTACCAGCATAGTGGGTGACTCCTGCAAATTGCCTCTTATATTGTTCTAGGGACAGGGAGAGAATGTAAGTGGAGACAACCAACAAAAGGTCACAGCTCATTTTGCCCTAGCACCTCACCCATAGTGGTCTAGGCACAAGCATTCTCTTTGATTATTAGCCTGGCTGATTCAGTTTGGTACTATCATATTTCTTGCTCTTCAATGCTTCTGTGCCACATTCCTCCTACTTCCAGGGTCAGTCAGGGAAACTGAAAAGATAGCTACTTTTTATTCTGTATCTATGATTTTGTATAGTGCTAACTAATTTAAAAAGAGACACTAGCATCCTCCTTTGGGCTTTAAGTAACTAGGACAATTTGCTAGGCCTGGTTGTTAGTATGGTAATAAATAATTCATGGACATACAGTACAAATATATTAGTAACAATTTTTCAATAGTTACTTATTAAGAATATAAGAATTTCTGACTGTACCTTGCTAAAATGAAAAAGGATCACTTATTTTGTCTCCTTAAGATTAAGAGAGTCTTTCATGTTGTTTTTAAATTGTCTAAAATGTTGCAGTGTAACTTTCTGTAAGAAAATTGAAAATTTTCAATCTGAAGTGGGGGCATTTTTATTGATAAGTTTCCATGTCTTCCCCTCATAATTGTCTTTGCACTGAGAATACCCATCTTCTGAAGTTATAAGCTATTTATATTAGAATGATGTAAAAGTATTGCCCTCTTTTAATTTTCATAATTTAGAATTCAAAACATGCCAATATTGTATAATGGCTGAACATGAAAAAGCTGAAAACTGTAAATTTTGTTGGAAATAAAATAAATAACTTGGCTAACTAGTTCTGCACTTCTCTGGGTTCTCTTTTGAGCAAAGGTCCACTTTTATTGTGGTTAGGAAACATCCAGAATGAGTAAGAGCAAAACATAGATTTTGATATTTCTGCTTTATGTTTTTTCCCCCCAAGCTCTTGCCTTGTTACATTTAAGAAATATAACTGAAAAGACATGTCCTAAGAATTTAATTTATTTACAAAAGTTCTACTTTGGCTTTAATTGTTTGTTTTTATGAATTCCAATTTTCTTCTGAGATGGATTTTGACTTTTGAAATTCAGAAATTATGAAAAATACAAATGTAGTGAAGATGCAGTTGCATTGTGAAAATAATATTGAATTATTGTGTCTTTTTTGAAAGAAGTAATATGCATACTTATTATAAAAATAGTTTTGAGTGCTTGAATATTTTTAGTCCTGATATGTTAACATTTTCATCCCCCCCCCCCCCAATTACAGTGTGTTGCCATTTTGGCTTAAAATTGTTAGAAGGCAAAGATTTAATACAATGAATAAAATTGCATTTGATTATATCTAATCTATCCTTATGTCTCAGTGATGTATTGAATTATGTCCATTCAAGTTTGTGCTGAATTCTGGTTTCAAATTTTAATACTCACTGTGCTAACCTAAAATCTATAAAAGTTTATAATTTTAGAATAGTCAGAAATTTTACTTTTCAACAAGGGATTAATCTTAGTTAGAAGCAAGGAAGGAGTTGATATTATAATTTTGAATGCCGAAGACTAAAAAAGAGCACACACTTCATTAAAAGAGGCATCACATCATTATCATATTTAAAAGTAATTAATGATTTGCAGTCTAAAAATCATCTGGAAAACCAGTTTTTTTAGAAAGAGTATCCCTATTCTCTGGAGAAAGGGAACACCAAAGGAAAGCTAATAAAATGACATGATAAAAATTATTTGAATCCACCTGATAAGGGCATGTTTCATGGTATTAATTTATACAGTTTTAACTAGACAGTGAGAATTATTAAGTTACTCAACAGCTCACTGAGATGTAGGTGAATAATTAACAGGAATAATAAATATATTTAACTTAAAAAATAAATCTGCTGAGACCTGAATGTGATTTTTTTCAGTAAGAGAAGTTAATAATAAAACCAAAAAGAATGGTTATATTGCAGACTGTCCTGTTTCTTCACTGCTATCCCCATTTATGTGGCCAATGGTATATTAGTCTCAAAACTGATTTTAAAAAATACAGTAGCCAATAGGTACCAGAAGTAAATGCACTCACTAATTTAAGTGAAGATCCAGTTATGATATAACTTGTTTTATCTTCATTGATAACAATATTGGAAACATAGAGAAAGTTATATACCTGCATAGAAGTCATAGGCTCCTTCTAGTTTTAAATGGTTTCAAGTCAAAGTAATTTTTGTCCTTTAATATGACTTGAATATTATAGAAGTGGTTATAGAGAAGATATATTTATCTCGCACTGGTGGTGTTATTTTTTAAGAAATGAAGAAAAGTCCATCCTCTTCTAATGTTTAATATTATGTTTCTTTAATTTGTTTAAAAAATTATTTTAGTTATTGTAGCATTTTTCCTCATAGTTTGTTGTCTGCTTTTCCTAAGTAGTTTTAAGGACATTGGAAATTGAAAGAGACTATAGCTGTTAATTGTAAATAAATAATCACATAAACGAAAAGGAAGTGAATATTTAACAGACTAACACTAGACAAATAAGCTCACATAAAACTACATCCTCCATGTCTTTTGGCTTACTAAAATACTACAATGATGATTTTATGTTGACAAAGATTGTGTTATAATTTGAAATGAGCAATACTGTAGTGACTGGATGGTCAAGATGATATAATAGTTTGTTAGGTTAATTTTTGGCATCAAAAAAAATCATGCCTTCATGGGTTGCAGTAATGGACTATGCATTAATTTGAGGTATACTCAAATTTGGTATTTAATATGAGTCAGATGAAAAATTTTAAAAAGAACTAAGGTTAGGGTTACAGTGTAAAAGTAGGTTCTAACATTAAAATGGAAGTCTGTAGACATGAAGTTTAATTCCTGTTATGATTTGAAGCATTTGGGAATAATTTACTTCATTGGAAAACTCTTGTCAGCAAATACTAAGAAATATACAAAATTAAAATGGAATTGGGATGACTTCTGCCATTTGCGTACATGCTTTCTTGAATTGTAGGCTAAGATTCAAACCATTCTGGAGTTTAAAGACATGTAGCAGCAGCCAGTAGGTATTTATAGTAGGCAGCTTTGACGTCTATTCTACACTTGGCCTCAAGTTGTGTACCAGTGGCTTGATGGCTAAGAGCCATATGGAGCTAGCTCATATGCCATAAAAAGGGCCATAATAAGATTTTTAAAAAACAAAATAGTTAATGTGCATAATATGCATACGTACAAGAGACAAAAGTGGAAATGGATGGCTAAGAGAAGAGGTTTTTTGGTGATCAAAAATGGTTAGCAGGGAAAATTGGCTTCAGAAGGAAGAATGGAAAAAAGATCCAGAGGCATAATGGTGCTTAGGCTTGTCTGCATTCTATTTCGGACAAGGTATTTGTATTTCTGAGATCAGCTCATATAATCCCTCGGGCAGAATTTTTCATGGGGCTGTTTGATGTAGATATATGTCAGGATACCTTTCTTTGACAAGCCTACTGATCTCTCAGGAGACAATAGTCCTATGAAACGATTTGAAAAACGTTGCTTCCAGAGGGTTGCGTTTACCGAACCTGCTTATGCAAGTCTTTTTCATGGAGTCAGTGAAAAACAAGATAAAAACAAACCTGCCTATATTAACAGATGGAAACAAGCCAGTCTGCTAAAAGAGAAAATTGAGTATTCTGTTAGGCAAAGGGGAAAGAAAAATGAAACTTCAAATATTTCAAATATCTTATATATGATATGTAGTTGGTATGGCTTCTATGTTTCCTAGCTTAGGTTTCATGTGAGTTTGCTTGTGGATATATCTGCACGGCCAGGTTGTCCCATCATGAGTATAGTCCATCAGCTGTATCTGGGGCACAGGAATCAAGGTTGTTACTCTAGGCTATAAAAATGAGACCTCCCATATTTTCCTGTTCTATATTAAAAGAAGTGTTTTCTACTTTGAGCTGGCTCAAGCACTGCTGCATTTTACTTCATTTAAGATAAACATATATTTTGATTGGCTATTGCACAGAGCCCCCGCCCCCCTCACCCGGATTTGCCTATCACTTTACTGTCGACTGCAGCTGGTTATAAATCTTGCTTGACAGGCAGAGGATAATTGGTTAGGAACATGATAGAATAGTTTAAAATATTTTTTGTTGGGCCTTTTTGTTTTTTTCCAGCTGTTTGGAAACACTTCTATCTGCAGTGGCTGGAAAAAATGCTAAGCTAGTATATTGATGGACATACTTTTAAAAAAATCATTAAAGTGAATAGTTCAGGAGAAAAAAATAGTATTTTTAAAAAGTTCTGCTGGGTTTTTAATCTGACCCTGTGCATTTTAAACAAATTTTATAATCACTATACAAATACAATATTTTAACATAAAATAATTTATGACATACTACAAAATGTAAAACTTTCCTGTGCTGCTGTTTAACTGTGCTAAAAAGTTCTATGTGTGCTATTTTCAAGGCAGATACATCTCTGAATGTATCCCACCTTTTTCAGTAAAGGAAACACATTAGAAGTTCTGCCATTGTTGATAACATTTGGTAAGGAAATATCTCTGAAAGGATGACCCAATGGGTAACATACTGTATAAATCTAATAAAATCCATCCATAGAAAGGAAATCAATTGGCAATTATTTCCTGGCATACAGGATTTGGCTATTAAGAAACTAACTAGCATTTTGAGCTGAACAAATTGCTTCCAAAATGTCCCAGTTTGGACAGAATTTTTAAAATCATTTTTGTGCCCAGTAGATATCAGCATGGCAAAGGAACAACATAAGGAGGTGATGCGGAATTTAAGGAACAGCATTTCATTTTTGCCTATGGCATAACATCTGATACTGCAGTAAACCATATGACAACTAGATGGCAGTTTCCTTTAAATGATTTCATAGGACTAGAAAACCAGTAATCCTAGGAAATCAGTGTCTTGTTAGAAAAAAGCACAAAGTAAAAAATTAAAAAATGAACAAATAAAGAATAAAATATGGCTTGAACTTCTAACTGCTCCTTTTAAGGTTCAGAAGAGGGTAATTTTCCCATTGGGAGCAATGCTAGGGTGGGTGGAAATGGGAAGGCAGGAAATCCACCAATCACTGCCCTACTCCTCATTAGATTGTATAAGGGAGCAACACTGCTTGGCTTCATTGCTGAGACATAGTAAGGGTAATTTTTATTTATTTATTTATTAATCAAATTTCTATACCGCCCTACTCCCGAAGGACTCAGGGCGGTGAACAGCCAAGATAAAATACAGATAATACAAATATTAAAAAAAATCCCTTAAAATTATTAAATATTTCGGCCGAAACACAGATTAAAACACCCAATTTGTAAAATCACGAATTTAAAAATTTAAAAATTTAAAAGATGGGAGTTAGGCCAGGCCAGCTTGCTGAAATAAAAAAGTTTTGAGAGCACAGCGAAACGTGCGCAGGTCCGGGATCTTCCGTATCTCTGGGGGGAGCTCGTTCCAGATGGTAGGTGCCCCCACAGAGAAGGCTCTCCCCCTGGGGGCCGCCAGTCGACACTGTTTGGCCGACGGCACCCTGAGGAGCCCCTCTCTATGGGAGCGTACTGGTCGGTGAGAGGCTATTGGTAGCAGAAGGCGGTCTCGTAGATACCCCGGTCCGATGCCATGGAGCGCTCTAAAGGTGGTAACCAAAACCTTGAAGCGCACCCGGAAGACCACCGGGAGCCAGTGCAGCTCACGGAGGAGGGGGGTCACATGGGAGCGCCACGTCGCTCCCATAACCACCCGCGCGGCCGCATTCTGGACCAGCTGGAGCCTCCGGGTGCTCCTCAAGGGGAGCCCCATGTAGAGAGCATTGC